ATCTGTTTGAAAAGGCCTTGGGATGAAGAAAGGAGGGTGCTCACTAATGAGGTCCAGGAAATAGTGGGGGCCAGATTCAATTCTAAGAACAGAACCATCTGAGGAATTGAGGCAGGGAGTAGTATGGCTGGGACTTTGTTTTAGAAGCTAACTCTGGTTGCTGTGTAGAGAACGGACAATAGGAAGGAGGGTGAGAGGGAAAGCAGAGTGGCCAGTCTAAAGTATTAAGACCAATGTCATCATTGGAGTTTGTACGGTGTATATTGGTGAATTACAATATATCAATCCTAGTATGTGTATTTTTACACACTTGTCCAATTACTAGTTCTTAAGACAAATTTCTAGAAGTCGGATCACTGGGGTATAAGGACATATTTAAAATTCTAATCCCTGCTAAACACTAATGGTAGAGCCAACCCAGGCGCCATTTGTGCAGCCTCTGGAGGCCATAACCCCAGCTGTGCACCTAGTGTTGGTGTCTGGATCCAGCATTTCTTGAGGGACATCTGCAAACTGGTCATATTCTGAGGTTTGTTCGCAGCCTGTGCAATTCAACAAATTTGTCAGTGGGGGTGGGGTGGGCTGACGGCTGGAGTTGTTTAATTTTGGAAAGAGAAGACTTTGGAGAAGTGCAGGAGTCCTCTTGCACTATTCGAAGGGCTGCCTCATGGAGAGAATGTAGCCCCTGAGGACAAATCTGAGTCATTAAAGGACAGAGTCTCTGACTCAACATGAGGAAGACGGTTTTAACAATTAGAACAACTGGTGAAAATGGAGATGTCCTTGTTGCTGGAAATGTTCAGGCAGAACTAATTGGTGACCTTCTGCTGTAGGGAGGGACTCGCTCTACAGAGTGGAGCGCTGGGTATCAGCTCCCATCCAGCATGGAGGCTCATGGTCATTTATTGACACCTGGAAGTTAGATGAATGACAGGTTAGCGTTTGAAATAAAAACAAAGAAAAACAGGCCCGTGCCCTCTAAAGACTAGATTGTCTCTTCCTGCCACCCCTGCCCTCTGTTTTGGCCACATTCCAAGGGGAAGGGGCCATCAGTGGCCCATCATTATCCCACCTCCCCTGAGCATCTGGGAGGAAATGAGTAGCTAAGGTTGCTTGTGGAGGCCAGGGAAGCAGAGCGGGAGTCAGATGGGGGAATCTCTTGAGTATTTGATGTCCGATGTCAGACTTGGCTGGACCTCTTGGGCTCTGGAAGTTCACCATTGCCTAAATTCAGGTTTTAAAGGAGCCTTCTGCTATTGGTCATCACGTGGTTGACAGGATGAATTGAGAACTGCCCGTGTGGTGGCCAACAGCTGGAGGCTCCAGCAGGGCTCAGGCAGAGGACTGGCATGGGCTGCTGTCCTCTCAGCCTGTAGAAGTGGTACAATTCAAGGGCAGCCCCAGTTTTCAGACTTAGGACAGAGCCTCCATAGTCTTTGAGTGATTTTGGAGGTAGGAAACTTTTTTTGCCTGAGCCTCAGTTTCCTTGCCCTGCCCGCTTCTCTCTCCTGTTGAGATTTAGTTAGAGATTGGTACCAGCCTGCTGTTTCACCGTGGGCCACAGAGAGGACGTGTTTGGGTTCAGATTATAGTCCTAAGATTCCACCTGGTGATCGGAATGGAGTTAACTAGCTCAGGTAACCTTTGGAGTGAGGTGGGAGTTGGGGAAGAGCGTGAGCACAGAGCGTGTGCCCAGAGTGGCACACTGGGTTGGCTCAGCCTTTTGCGCCTCAGCTGCCGAATCTGCAAAGTAGAAACAACATTCTGTATGAAATTCCCCCCAGCCCTCACTGAGAGCTCCTCCCAGCCCCTGCACTTCCTTTCCTTTGTGCAAACAGCTTCTCTCAAATCCCAGGAATAAAATAAATAAAACATCATTTTGTATTTCTATAAATATTGTGTCATGTGATTAAAAAGATGTAGCTTAATACAGGCCCATGAACTGTTCATAGTTGTCTTACGTAGTTTCTAATATTCTTGCCACATCAGCTGTAGAAAAGACTGTGAATTTTGTTAATTAAAACTAATTTTGGGGCGGCGCCTGTGGCTCAGAGAATAGGGTGCCAGCCCATATACTGAGAGTGTTGGGTTTGAACCCAGCCCTGGCCAAACTACAACAACAAAAATAGCCGGGCATTGTGGCTAGCATCTGCAGTCCCAGCTTCTCGGGAGGCTAAGGCAAGAGAATCACCTAAGCCCAAGAGCTAGAGGTTGCTGTGTGCTGTGATGCCACAGCACTCTACTGAGAGCAACAGAGTGAGACTCTGTCTCTAAAAAAAAAAAAAAATTAAAACTAATTTTGAAGCCATGCATGGGATCTCATGCCTGTAATCCTAGTATTCCGGGAGGCCGAGATGGGTGGATTCCTTGAGCTGAGGAGGTTGAGACCAGACAGAGCAAGAGCAGGACTCTGTCTCTATTAAAAATAGAAAAATTAGCCAGCATTGGCAGGCATCTATAGTCCAGCTACTCAGGAGGCTGAAGCAAGAGGATCACTTGAGCCCAAGACCTTGAGGTTGCTGTGAGCTATGATGATGCCGTGAGACTCTACCCAGGGCAACAGAGTGAGACTCTGACTCTCCAAAAATACAAAACTAATTTATTGAATTATTAGTAATTTATTAAAAGGGCAGGTTTAATCCTAATTTATATCCCTTATATTTATATATATACTTACTCAATTCTTAGATGCTTTTTAAAAAAAAAATTAGCATTTCCAAAGGTAAGTTATGCCGTGTGATGAGTTTCTAAAGAAACTTGCCAGCTCTTTTTTCCCCTCTAGATGCTGATGTTAAGTGATGGTCTCTTCGAATCACAGTCACTTTGGAGGGGAGGAGGGACTTAGGACAAAGCTGATTGTTTCTGGTAACTTTCTAAAGGCATCAGGTGGCCAAGATGATAAGACATGAACCTGAACATGTCCTCTCTGTGGCCCAAGGTGGAACAGCTGACTGGTACCAAAGAATGATCATTTCCTAGTAATCTAGGCAAAGAATTATGTGGGTACAGCATTATGGGTATCTGTGATTCCTTTCCACATTCCCTCACTATATCTTTCTGCCCCACTATCCTGATTCCTCCCTAAGAGAGCAGAAGTTGGGTCTGAACCTCCTTTCCTGAGTCCCATGTCCTCAAAGGTTAGATCACCTTCAGCAGGTTAATAGGTAGTAGTGGGGCTGGTGCTGTTTTGGCTGGGGTAACATGGGGACCTCCTCTGCCTTCAAGAGTATATCTAAGGGGCAGTGCCCAAAGCTCAGTGGGTAGGGTCTGACCACATACACCCAGGCTGGTGGGTTTGAACCTGGCCTGGGCCAGCTAAACAAGAATGACAACTGCAACAACAAAAAAAATAGCCTGGCGTTGTTGTGGGCACCTGTAGTCCCAGCTACTTGGGAGGCTGAGGCAAGAGAATTGCTTAAGCCCAAGAGTTTGAGGTTGCTATGAGCTGTGACATCATGGCACTCTACTGAGGACCATATACGTAGTGAGACTTTGTCTCAAAAAAAAGGGGGGTGGGGCATATCTATGGTTCCTGAGCCAGAGAAGGCCTGTGGCCGTCTTCAGTGTCGTATATCTACCTCCTCACAGGAGAGAGGCTCCTGCAACTGTGGGGAAAGGCACATCTCAAGTCATTGGCGTTACCAGCCTGAGCAGCTGTGCCCTGGAGCTGCTCATGACTCACCAGCCTTTCTGGAACTCTGTCTTGGCCTTTGCATGCTCAGCCAATCTCTAAAGAAGGCATAGCAACAGAGGGAGCAGAGCTTCTTGTCACAAGTGTGACAGGGTATACCATTCGTGAAAACTACTGTCTTTCCCCATTCCTGAGAACTTGTCAAGTAAGATAACTATAAATAAGATATTCACCAAGAGCTGTGGCCGTAGTCCTGCGTCTGGCACAGTCTAACCCCAGTCAGGTGATGGTGATACTCATGATGATAGTTGATAGTGAAACCAAACCTTTTTGTTGTTGTTGTTTGTTTTTTGTTTCTTTAAGAGACAGGGTCTTGCTCTGTCACTTGGGCTGGAACTCAGTGGTAGGATCATAGCTCACTGCAGCCTCAAACTCCTGGGGTCAAACAATCCTCCTGCCTTAGCCTGCCTTAGTTCTGGGACTACAGGCACGTGCCACTGCATCTGGCCAAGTTTTATGTTGCAAAATAAGGAGATTGAGACTGTTTGTAATGGCCTTCTTTTCCTGTATAAATCTGGACCTTTTTCTTAGGATGTCTGCTTTAGAATTTAATAAAGGAAAGTCCCTTAAATCAGGTCACCCATAAGACCCTTTTTGAAACAGACATGACATACCTGATGACTTTCCTTTTTATATGTGTATCCTAGTCCTATCAGTGTTGCAACATGTGACTTTCTCATCCCAGTGGCCGAGCTTTCAATATCCATAAATCTACATATTACTATGAACAGTATGGAAAGGCTATCTGGTCTTAAGCACCCAGGACATCTGCCCTGACAACATGGTGCAGATTTGACCCCCCAAGTGCTTCCAAAGGCAGAAGAGAGAGACGTGTACAGCAAGTAGTTGGTGGGAGGTGAATTCTGGGGGCAAATACAGAGTCATTACTTGGTTTATGAGCTAGTCCCACGTCCTCAAAGGGCATCTGTAGTCCCTTAGTGGAACAGTTTAGATATCTAGGAATTCATTATTCTATAGAATTATGTGTCTTAAAATAGTACTTTTTGTCTAAAAGAAGTAGAACAGGTCACCAGATAGTTTGTTTCCATGTCACTAATGCCAGCTGAGTTCATGAACGTCTTGTAACAAATAGCAAGGCATTGAGCAACACTTGGATAACGCTTGCAGGAGCTTTACAGCAGGTTTAAGGAAATTAGAAAGTTTTAAAAAGAAGTTACTGTATATAGCTTATACCCTGTATCTTTTCACTAAAGAAAATTTAAGTACCAATACCTTAAATACAAACAATCTAACAGAAAGAAGCAAGGTAAATTTTTATGAGATCTCAGTGTGTGTGTGTTCTTTTCAGACACATGAAGATCCACGAGAAGGACCCTAACAGTGCCACAGCGGCGGCCCCACCGTCTCCTCTGAAGCGCAGGCGGCTGTCCTCCAAGAGGAAGTTAAGCCACGATGCTGAGGCAGAAAGAGAAGACCCAGCACCAGCTAAAAAGGTCCTCTTGGCTCACAGCGCAGACATGCTCCTCACGGGACTTTTGTCAGAGATGCCTCTAATCTTTATTTTCCCAGCATGGGGACTTGGCAGAGATCCATCCTAAGCTTTTAACCTGTGTTTTCCCACACTGTTTTTGTGATGTGTTCTAGAAAAGAGTACCTGTGTGCGTTTCCTCTCTGGAGCTCCCCCACTGAGCCCAGAGGTGAAATGAAGAGCTTTTAGAATTGTCCCATGATTTTAATGTTTTTTTCCCTAGGTAAAATGGAAGCTTCATGAGCATTAGGAACTCTTATCCCAGTGCTTGGCAGATATTGGGTGCTCCATGAGAACTTGTCTAGTAGGGGAGGGATTTTGGGTTGGATAGATGGATGGGTTGATGGCAGTATTAAGTGATTATTTGTTGTGTGAATAAATGAATGGTCAGTCATATCCGCAATACCCCGGGGTGGGGAATGCAGTCCTTTCCTTTGAGTAGAGGTCTTTGGATTTAGGGTTGCTTCTCTTCTGAAACCAAGCCATGTGGGAGACCTCCTCTGTGACTTCATTTTTTCCCTTTTCCTTAAGATGGTAGAAGACGGACAGTCAGGTGACTTGGAAAAGAAGGCTGATGAAGTCTTTCACTGCCCAATATGTTTCAAGGAGTTTGTTTGCAAGTATGGACTGGAGACCCACATAGAGACCCATTCGGATAACCCACTAAGGTAAGAGAAAGAGTGAGCTCTGGGTCTTTTTCATTCCTTTTCTTTTTGGCATTTTACATGTTCTTATTTCCTGTTACTCCACCCTGAGCTCCTGATTGAACTTGTGTATGATGACATCATTACGGTACTTGAGAAAGGTGTCCGCGTGAGGAAGAGGGTGGGCTGAGAGTTATCAGAGGATGGCTGCAGCTGGCAGTGTATTCACTCTGCCTCCTGTGCTTCTCATGAGGCCCCTTGAGCAGGCACCATTCTGCCCCCATGCTCTTATCACAGATGCTTTTGGACAACAGACATATTTTCTTTGCAAAGGATGTTGTCTCCCAAATGCTTGTTAGCTGTACATGAGAATGTGGTCTGGGTGGGGATAGCCCATGTGTTACATGCCCCAGCACAGTGCTGGACACACTGGGAACTTTGGACTTGCTTTTTAGAAGTTGGGACTGAGCTGGACAAGTAGCACAGAAACTCAAGAAATTATTTTGGGGCAAGAGAAAGTTCTCAGTGTAAGACACTCGACCGATAGTGGAACCTTTTATATTTCAATAAATTAGTGCTAGAGGATTGTTCTGCTGCTCCGCTCCTATTGTAGGGTTTTCCCAGTTCCAGCATTTCTGATCCCTGGCCTTGTCAGGCAGAAAATGCGGGTGGCAATAGGACTTTCCAGCAGAATTCAGGGGGAACCTGTCTTTCTTTCTCTACCTTCTCTGATAACTCATCAGGCAAACAGTCCTGTATTCTTGATGAACACACAGATTTGGAAGTTTTTCCTACAGAATTGCCACTTTAAAAATGTTGGACTGCATTGGCAAAAGCAAACAGCCACACGGGAGCCTCGGGTGTGTTTGAGAGAAAGTAGTCCTTACTGGGCATCACACACAGCTGAGGGGCCATTCAAAACCAGAGGTGGGCCTTTGTGTGGTTGCAGCTTTGGGTCTTAGAAGATAGCTTGGAAATGTAGGAAGCTATCTGTGTATGTGAATCCCTGATATACCACCAGATAATCCTTCTTGAAGACATATATTTAGCTGTGCTTTAGGAGTCAAAGAGTCTGAGCAAGCTACAAACTTCTGTGTTATTGGGAAAAGCCAAATTGTAATTTGAAGCCAGGTCAAATATCATTATCTTTAATCACATGAGCTTGACAGTTTTTCTGTTGGTGGGGGAAAAAGGATTTATGAAGTTCTATAAAATATCTTTATGGAAGTGCCCACGGTCAGGATGCTGCCAGGCGTATTGGCCTGGGCTGCTCACCAGGTCCCCACCCCAGTCCTCACTCTCCTCACATGTGCAGATTCCTTGTCCTTCCTATCTTGTGTTTTTAAAACCTGTCTCTTAGCAGTTGATTGCTTCGGTTTGCCAAGTGCAAGCATTTGGCCCTTCCCTCTGTAGTCTATCTAGTTCCATGAGAGTCAGGAACTTGACTTTATTCCACAGCATCCCCAGGGTGTAGGCTTGTGGTGGACAGTGAGTACAGAACAGTTCTGTAGACCCAGAGAGCAAATAGAAGCAAGGCCCCCAGTTGCTGCTAGGTGTCCCTGCCCAATAGCCACCTAGTTCTCTCAGACTGGCCTTCTGGGGGGACCTGCTCCTGGGAGGGGCCAGACTTCTTCCATCCATCAGAGCAGATGGGGGTGGGAATTGTACAGGATGCTGACCGTTCAGTTCACAATCAGGACAGGCAACATTTGGTGGTGTAGATGGGCTGTCCAGCCAGCAGGGAGGTTTTGCAACCTGATGGGGACTCAGCCATTGCAGGCAGCCTCCCATCCCACTGGCCCCGAAGCAGCTGGCAAGGGGAAGAGGCCCCCTGGCATCCTTTGTGGAGGTGAACAGGCCATCCCCTGCCTAGTGGCTCTTTCTATACGTGTTGCTAGGTGGGGTGAGGCTAGTATCTGGAAACCAAAAGGAGCTGTTTACAGAACGTAGTTAATTCCCCTTTTCTCCTCTCTGCTCTGATGGTCCCTATAATAGCCTGCTATCAGAGGCAGCCGAGGGCCGCCCCAGCCGTGGGGCCTACCCTGGTAAACTGGGACAGTAGCTGGTAGGAGAGAGTGCTCGTTAACCCCGAACTAAAATAGACACCAGCTCCATTTCAAACCCCAAAGGCAGCAGAACCACAGAGGGATGCTACCAGCTTAGAAAGTTTGTAACTCAAAACAGCTGTTGCCTTCTCTCTCTCCTGCCCTTGTCCCCTTTCCCTACCCACCAAAGCTGGCAAGGTGCCCATTGTTCCTTAATAAAAAGCATTGGAAATCCAAACCTCTGTAAGTGGCGAGTCTGTTTTCCCCCACTCTACTGTGTTTCCAATGAACAAAGCATTGGCACAGAACAAAAGGAAGACACAGAGCTGTTTGTAGAGATGCTAGCTCTTGGGGTCAGGTGTTAGTTGCACCCTGACACCACCAGTAGTAAATCATCCCTCTCCATACAGTTGAGAGAGTGAAGAAGGCAGAGAAAGGAGATGGTGTTTGGGATCATAGGCAAGGGGCTGAGTGTTCAGAGGGTAGGGGGTGCACAGAGGATTGCAAGGCACTGAACACCTTGCTGGCTGTCAGAACTGAAACGTGATGGCCGTACTGTACCTCCTATGTGAAGTCAGCTGGGAGGAGCATCCAGCTCAGTGCCGGCCAATAGAAATAGAATCCAAGCCATGAGTATCGTTGGAAATTCTCCAGTAGCTATGTTTTAAAAAGTAAAAAGAGAGAAAAAAGAATAATGCTGTATTGATTACACCGATATAGTCAAAATATAATGTCAACATATAATCCAGGCATCCTCAAACTCACGGGCCACTGAGGACATTTATCTGACTCGCTAGGTGTTTTTACCACCGCTGCCTGTCCTGCTTAGTAGCCGACTCATCCCAGGGCCCGCAGTCCAGCCCTTCAATGGTCTGAGGGACAGTGAACGGGCCCTCTGTTTAAAAAGTTTAAGGACCCCTGATATAATCAGTTTAAAAATTGCTAGTGATATAGTTTACCTTCTCATTTTCGTATATTGACTCTGAAATTCAGTGTCTGTGGTGCAATCCCAGCGCATCTCCACACAAACCAGCGACCATCAGGTGCATAGCAGCTGCGGAGCTAGTTTCAGACAAGCTACCTATGGTGGGGATGGCATGGATGCTTTGTCTCTGGGCAGTGGCTGGATGGTCATGTCAGCACAGCCACTGTGAAACTTGGCCATCATTGTTATATAATCTTAGATGGCTCCCTGATTAAAGGAGATTGGGTAATAAGGAATGTTAACATACTTCAGTTAAAATACATGCAACTAATGATGATGTCCTTCTTGTGTCCAGGGTACTTGTCCAGGCTTGAGGACAGCAGTGGTGTTTGAAACAAGGGCTATAGGTTAATTCAGAGAACTAGTGAATGGGTTTTTAGTTATGAAACAAAGTGCAGGGTTGATTGAGACTCAAAAAGAACATGCTTGTTCATTGTCCGGGCAGAGGCATCTGGTTGGTGCAAAGCTTCTCTTTCGGATTTTGTAGCAGAGGATGTGGTGCTTCCCTGAGCTTCTTCGGGTCATAGCTGTACTCCGTCTGGTCACATTATTGATCGTGGTCATTTCTGAAGTGATTTTAAAGTTCAAGGCCATGCCCTCCAATCTATGTCGGGAATTAGCACGTGGGGAGCTGGAGGGAACTCTGGCAAGCACTCCTGGCTCTTTAGAGTAGGGAGGGCCATCCCTCTGCCATGCGTCTTAGCAGTGTGGCCACCAGAGGGAGATGCTGGAAGCTTCTTTCTTCTGCGTTCTTGACGACTCCCAAGGAATGTTGACCTCCCTTCACTGCACACCCACCACCTGCAGAGAGACCCTAAGACTCATCCATGTGGCATTGGTCCCACCTTTGTTGAATGTCATCCTAAGAACAGGGAAAAATATTAATATGTGTCATCATTTTTTATTTAAGAGTCTTGGGGATCTGAGGCTGGCTAGGTGGAAACATGTAAAGCATTACTGGGGGCAACAGACCGAGGGCCCACTGGGAGGGAAGGATAGCCCCCCCACCCCTGTGTGCCACCCTTGGTAGGTAGAGGTGCCTTGGTCAAGACTGCCCTGTCCTCCACCCAAGACCCTGGGGGTGGGGGGGGGCTAGCCTAGCCCTTGTAAAGGCCCTTAGACTGCCCTCAGCGTGCTGCATGCCACGCTGGTGTGGTTCAGTAGCTGGAGCCGGGCACTGGGCCACAGTGTGCAGATTCCTGGGGTGCGGGGAGGGATGACTGCCTGGCCAGGGCCCTGTCACAGGGCCATCACTGTTGCTCACAGCAACTGGGAGAGATTAGTGCAGCTGTTGGATGTCAGTTCTCTGCCCTGGGATGGGCAGGGGAGGGTGGGCTGAGGGGAGAGGAATGTCTGAGCTGGGTGGGGCTCCTGAGGAGAGGTTGTTTGTACTTATTCATTTGGCCTCTGGAGACAGAGCAGGAAAAAACGAAGCATGAAATCCCTTTTAAGAAGGAATGCAAGTCTCTCCATTAAAACATTATAATGAGGAAGGAATTCAGTATCTCAAGGAGGTGGCCAAGTTGAGTTGCAGCTTCTCAGCAGGTATTTTGCAGGTTCTGCTGATGGGGGGTATGGGGAATGGCAGGGTTAGGAAGTGCTCCCTGCTGAGCCGGTGTCCAGGCACAAGGTTGCAGCCCAGGTCATGTAAGGAGTGGAAACATCTGCCAATAGCTGTCCTCTGAATATGCAGCTTAGAGAGTAGTGGTAAACCAGCCGACTCCATCCCAGCCCGCCACTGCCGGGCATCTCTCTGACTTCCGGCAAGTGAGGACTTAGTCTCCCCATCTGAAAGATAGATTGGAAGAGGATGGAGGGGGTGGTCCATAATCCTCGGACTGTAACGACCACCAAATGAATTGTTTTCTTCCGATACTATGATTTAGGATGTGTGTCTGTTTTAATATTTTAAACCTTCCAACATTTACTATCATGGTTAGTTGTGCCACTCTGTGGTCACCCCATTTTTTCTGGGTTTTTTTTCTATTTTAACT